ACTGTACTGTAAATATTTCGGACGCTTAAAAATTCAGGACTGTTTTATTTTCGGACTCCTTTTTTGTGCGAAATTAAAATAGTCCGAAATTTTTTGTTATGTATGCATCGTTATACCGTGGGAAGTCAGTAAAATAACGGTGTTTTTCATGGTCCACAGGATTTATTTTTCAATAAACCCATCGGACTGTTAGCGTTACTGGACGAAGAGAGTCATTTCCCACAGGTTTGTGCTGCCTCCTTTGCAAGAAAGTACGTGAAAAGAGAGAGTTGTCTCTTTCTCTGTCTTAAGTTATCGTTCACGAATTTGTATCTGGGAGTACACAGGCTCCGACGCTTTTTGTAACAATGCCCTCTAACAACTTTGTAGATGCATTGTAGGTTTTGTAATAACGATTGAAAAATTCGACGTTTTTTTCCTTCACATCAGCATTAAAAATGTACCAGCACATTAGGCGGAAAATTCATTGCAAGATCGCGAGGCATTTATTTCCTTTTTCGTTTTTCAGTTGTCTTTGTTGGACATTTCGTTTCAGCTTAACATTTTGCAAGTTCCTTGTCTCCCACGTCCACTTATCAAAATTATAACTTGTAGTCTGTCATTCCACTGTGAGCCGAGAGCTACTAACATTGCTTTCTTTGTGTGTCTCATAGAGCACAGACCACTCATTTGTGGAGAAATTGACGCAGAATTGTGGAAAGAGTAAAGTGTTCATCAAGTCCAAACATTCTAACACCAACATGTTTGGGATTTGCCACTACGCTGGCAAGGTAGGAGATAATAGCTGTTAGGTTGATCGTTTTCTCCTAGGTAACATTTTATCTACCTTGTGTTTGCCAGTAACGCTATGTACAGGGCTTTGTCTTTATTCGTATTTATTAATATATGACTTGCGTTTGTAGCCTATATAACGCGCGCTCTGATTGGCTAATAACTAGGGCATTATTCTCCCGTAATGCTCAGGGGCCGATTACGGGCCTGTAAAAACAAGCAAAAAGCAATATAATAAACTTCTTATTCACCTCGAACGTTCGGTCTTTGCGGGAAAATCTCAAAGCTCTGCCTGAGGCAAGTCTCGGCGAGGTCTCGCTCTTAGATTTTCCCGAAAAGACCTTACTCACGCACTCACGGTTAATAAGTAGTTAATATTACCCTTACTAAACAAAGGGCCGGAAAAAGTTTCGAGCGGTATTCAGTTGAGTGTCGAAAGTAATCAGGGAGTTACTTTGGTTTTTAATACAGTTTGAAATTGGCTGAGTAGTCTAATTGGTAACTAATTGGTTTAGTCTTGGTTCAAAAACACTCAATCGAAAACCGCTTTATGAACGGGTCGCGATTGGTCATTGGTTTGGTTTGTTTTCTGATTGGATGAGCAAGTGGCGCGTGATTTTTAACCAATCGCAAAGCTGCATATTGCTTTCGACTCTCAAGAGCTACTCTCATGGGAAAACCCCTCTTACCTCGGCGTAGATGAATTGATTTTGTTATACCTCCTTACTCAAATACAGAATAAATGTGATACCGAGTAAATGTATTGTGTCTATAATACAGGCAACAAATGCAAGGAATCGTTGATGTACTTGTAACATTTCGAAATAATTCTATATCAT